AAAAAAAAAAAAAAAAAAAAAAAAAAAAAAAAAAAAAAAGAGTTGGTTAGCTCTATTATTGTCATCATTCTTAACTCGTTTTAAAAATCTTTGTTGTATTATATTCATTATTCTCCATCTGTTTAAACATACTCCACTGTGCTATATATTTATCAATCATTAAATAATTGAAGCCTTAAAAGCTTTCAATCAAGATCAACAGCTCTCTCTCTATATATATATATATATGTATATCATATATATATTCAGCTCATTCAATCAATAAATGTTTAGTTTTATTTTATTATTATTAATAATATTATTGATGATTATGATGTATACATTTATTATATATTCAATATTTCAATAACCATCATTAAGTGAAGATATAACTATTATTATAATTAATTAATGAAGCAATTGATTGGATTTTTCAAGTACACTTTACTGTACACAGTAATTTTTTCTTTATAATGATTAATTTATCAAATCAATCTTTTAAATCCAATATCAGCTGAAAGCTGAATAATAATAATTATTAGTATTATAATAATATTTTTAAAAAATTATACGAAAATAACGCAGCGATCAATTAAATTCATCTCAATCAAGATAATTAGATATAAATTATTTGTGCTTACTTTTACAACAGTGCCTTACAACGTCATTTTCATTATATAAATATTTTTAAATTATTTTTTTATCAAGCTATTATTTCATTTTTTTTCTCATTATTTCAATATTTCAATGAATAATTATTTTATTATTATTTTTTTTATTAATAGATGATAGATAAATGTTTTATTATTTATTAATTTTTATATTGTTATATGAAATTTTAATAATATTTAGCCACATATTGAAGATAAAAAATTCAACAAATTTAATAATTATCCTTTATTATTTATTAGTTTTTTTCTCATTGGGGTAGCAAAGTTTATAAACGATTGTGATAGATGATGATTATAGTCATATAGTTTAATAATAGACAATACGCAGTATAGTTAATTATTATAGTTAGATTAGTGGAAAATAATTAAAATAACAATAATACGAAAAAATTTTTATATTATAAGTTATTGAGTCATTATATATCTATATATCTATATATATATATATATAGATTTATTTAAAGTTATCGTTTAAGCCGCTGGATATAGTGAAAGTGATTTATTTTTTTAATGAGATATTGAGTAATTAATATAGTTGGTAGTTGATTTATGGGCAGAAATAAAATTTTCACGTAAAGTACTGTTGAAGAAAATTAAAAGAAAAATAGATAAAATTATTTACAATTAAACAGCAGTATAAATTATTTCTTATTATAAAATTATTTAACAATGTGAAAAATAATTATTAGCTAAAAAAAATTCTTTAGAATTTTACATATTAATAACAACTATAATTTTAAATGGTACTCAAGTTGTGTATTATGAGATTAAAAAAATAATAACTTTTTTCATTATTATTTTAAACGGCTACGCGCAATTCTACAACAACAACAACAACAACAACAATAATTGTTATTTAAATTATGGAATAAATAATGGAAGTAGTAATAGTTGCTGATGGCGTTAATTAGAAAAATTTATTATATTATTTTTAATATTTAATTTAATGCGTTGCTAATAAACTCTGTACAAACGTTAACATTCCTTTGAAAACAACAACATTCGTGACACAATGGTCTTTTTTAAACAATAAACACTTTAATGGTAAATTTAACTTTTTTTTTTTTTTTTTTTTCTTTACAATTATTATATTTGTTTACAATCAATTATTTGGCATCTCATAAATACCTTTTATTATATTTTTTTACGTTTATTAATATTTATCGCCTTATCAATTTTTTTTTCAATAATTTATATTTAAATAAATAACTAGCAATGGAATTTAATAATTCACAATTAAAATTATTAATTTTTTAATAATATTAATTAATAGGCTTAAAAATTTTAAATTTGGACTTTTGGTTTTCATCAATGGATCTTATTGATAATTGAAAAAATTTTTAATTAAGTATTTTCAGTCTGTAAAGTACAGTAAATGTAGTTAAAGTACTGTATAATATGATATAATTTAATTTAATCAATTAAAAATATAATGAATTATAATCTGCAACGATGAATTATTGATATTTGTCACAGAAGTGTTATACATGGATTATTGGTAATAATGATAATAAAATTGAGATAAACATAAAAATACTTGAAACTTATATAATCAATTAATTTTAGTTTATCGAACAATTTTTTTTTTTTTTCTTCATTATTTAAATGACACTTATCATAATAAATTATAAATTTAAGTATTTACTTGCCCGGTACTCAATTTTGTTACTTTCATTCTTGATTGAATAAAAATAAAATAATCATTTTCTAAGCGGATGCCACATGACAACCGGGCGCCGAAGAGCTGTTAACATTTGTCGCCAGTGTGTTAATGATTTTCCAGTTGTATTAGAACCTATTATAACATGACCTATGGAGTATGTTTTCGAATTAGTTGTAGAATCGGAATTTAATTCAGCTACAGTCAGTCTCAATTGAATTGTCTGCAATAGTAATTTATTTTTTAATTTTTTAATTTTTTAATTTTTTAATTTAAATCAGTATTTATTTTAACGTTTCAACGTTATAATTTTTACCTGCAAAGTATGAGCAGGCACGTTAAAAATCATAGCCTCATTGAAAGTTGGACTTTTTTCGCCTCGCTTAGCAGAGGTTTTTTTCTTGTGTATTTTTTTCCCTTGTTGCAGCAGGTACACCTTAAGTTAAAAAATTAAATATGTAAAAAATTTAGTAAATATATACATATTTAAAAAATAAATTAGAATGTTAAGTTTACTTTAACAAATAAATCCCCTGGTACTGGATTATTTGTGTGAAGATTTCTGGCCTTAACAACAACTAAAGTGAGCCTTTCGGCAGTTGGTAAATAGCTTAATGAAAACATAAGTTCACCCAAACGAGGAACTGGTAGACCTGGAGAAACAAGAGGCAGCCAGGTTGTAGCTGGTGGTCGAGCTGCTGGTCCTAATTTCAATGAAGCTTCACCAATAAGAAACACTCCGCCGCCGCCGCCGCCACCCCCCATATTTATTTCGACTGAAAATATCTTAAAAAATTTTATTATTTAATTTTATATATCTAATAAGCTATATAATAACAATATTTATATTATTATAAAAATAAAATAAATGCTTACTTCTACCAATAAAGTCCTTCCTATTGGACCTCCATCAAGGGGAAATAAAAATTTTTCCTGATAACTTGGTGAAGGTGATCCTCTATAAAGTCTGGTTTGTACATGTGTTTGTCTATCCGGAAGAAGGCATACTCTGAAAACATAAAATAAAAATAAAAATATTTATATTTATAAATATATAAGCAGTATATTTTAATATTTTAAGAAAATAATAATGAAAATAACCTGGCAAGAGTGTCTTGAGCAGGTCGTCCATCAGGTGCAATCAGATCTCTCGCTTCAAGAACACTAATAACAAGATCACCCTCAATGTCAGCTCCACGTCCTCCCCACCGTTCATACTCTAGGCCAACGCAAATTAGTCCAACAACAGTTACTTGTTCAATATCTCCAAGTATAACACTTGTATCTGAGCAAACGCTTTCACAACTTATAGCTCTCTTTAAATTTGTTTCATCAGGTGGTGGCTCTGGCTCCGGCCCTTGCGATGAACTACGTCTACCATTCAAACTTATTTCTTCAACATCTATTGACGAATTTGAATTTGAATTTGAATATCCGTACGAGTCTTCAATCAGTTGCTGTGTTATATATTTTAAAATGAAATTTAATATTTTTTAAATATATATATATATATATATATATTTCTTAATAATTATTTGATATAATTAATTAAACTTACTTGTGACAGTCTTCTCTGTAACTGAACCTCTTCTAGAGCATTATAAAGGTCTTGGCTACTGCTTCGCCTCCTAGTTAAAAAATTTACACTAATTTAATTGACGCAAAGAGACTTTTAATTAACTTTGATAGTAGAGTTTAAATTTTAATATCTACCTGACATTATCAATGCCATCCATCTCTACATAATCATGAAATCCGTTTAGTCTTTCCATACTTTTTCTTCTCTGTTCCAAACTATTAAATATATCCTAAAAAGTGAAAAAAAAAAAAAATAAATTTTTTAAATTAAAATTAACATAACATAACATAAAATAAAATAAAATAAAATAAAATAAAATCAAATCAAATCAAAAATATACCTCAGATGTTCTGGTAAAACTTGGATCAGACATGTAAGGATAGGGTTCTTGACTAAGATTTTTCAAAAGAAGTGGCGATGAAGGGGGATCTTGAAGACTGTTGTAAACCTAAAATAAAATCAAACAGTATATAAGTAAATATAATAAAAATAATTAACGTTAATATTTTTTACTATTATTTTAGGTTGTACCTCTTGCGCGGTCCGATGAGCTTCCAAATTAAGCTCCGGACTGTAAAGGTCGGATGTCCGTCTCGAGCAATCAATACCAATAGCCGCTGGCTCACCATCGATGTACAAATTTGAAACCTCATCTTGTATACCGTTTACCGTTTCATTTTTTTCTAAATTAAGACTAGACCGTCTGATTCCGGGGAAAGTTAACATCGGAACTTGCTGAGCTGATGAAAGTACTGAGCTGTCAATTTTCAAATTTAAATTAGTAAAAATTAATAATATTATATTAAAATTAAATTATATTAATACTTACTTGTAAAATTCAGAAGCGTCAATGTAGCTCTGAGATGTAACAGACCTCAGAGCGCTGAAAATTCTCTCACCGGTAGTGGGACTGTTGTTGGTGGACTGCTGCTGGTGGTTATGCAGTGAAGAGTCATGATTTGAAGGATCTGGTGGAGCTGGGGGTGGAACAGGACTCGGTGTATCGTTGTCACCCGGTGTCAGCACTCCCTCATCTTCGGTGTTTGGATCCTCGTGCGTTTGATCACTCAGCGAGTCGTAATTTGGTACATCTGGTAAACTTTGGATGTACTGAGAGACTCTCTGCAGTCCTTGAATTTTTGAATTATTTCCGTGAATATCGATCCCGTAATTGTCATCCGCAAAAATATTTGAATTTCTCAAGGGTGTCATTTCAATGTTTTGCCCAGAAATTTCCTCATTTTTTCCCCCCAATTGGCTTGAATAAATTTGAGAATTTTGCAGTAACTTTGTAATAGCTTCAGACCCGTATATTGATTCAATAAATGAATTTGAGTTGGTAAAATTGAAGCTATTAAAAGAGCCCCTGGAGTCATTTCTCACATGTGTATTATTATGATGTCGAATTTGTTGTTGCTGGTGTTGCTGGTGTTGCTGATGTTGCTGATGTTGCTGCTGTGAATTTTGTCTTTGAATAGTAGAATGTTCATTGAGTTGGCAAGTTGAAACTCCATATTTAAGTTTAGCCGTATCTTCAATAAGATCGTAAGCTCTGTATGAAGTTTCTCGATTTATTCTACAGAGATGATAACTATCTTTTATTCTCTCTTTAATATTATTTACACTATCACATTGAGATTCAAAGGTTAATTTTTTTTCATGTTCATCATCACCTAAAGGCTGATGATGATTTTGGTTATTAATAGAGTAACAACCACTCGTTTGAATACTCTCAGGTACAGATTTAGTGTTGAAATTATAATTAAATGAAGGCGGGCCATTAGTGCTACCAGCGGTCGCAGTTTGTCTACTTCCGTTGCTGTACTGGTTGTAAATTTTCGGAATTTCATTTTGAAAAATAAATACAGATCCATTACGATCATTGCGATCGTTTCGGTGATGAGCACCCGCTGGACGCGGTATTGGTGGGGGAGTAAGAGGAGCTGCTCCAGAATCTTGCATCCGTAAATATTCAGGTGTATTGTGCGTTTGAAGAGGAGAAGGTCGAGGCCGGGGAGTCGATTTTGGTTGGGGTGCTGGTCTCAGAGGCTGCGGTGGAATCATTGTTGTATTACATCCAACTCCCCCCCCCAGTGGAGGATGAAGGTCTCGATCTACTGCTTCAAATCTATTTTATATATAGTCAAATAGTCAAAATTTAATTAAAAATTATTATTATTATTATTATTATTATTATTATTATTATATTTACTACCGGGTAAAAGCTCCTTGAGCATCCAATCTCAGGTCACTGTCGCTGTGTAAAAGATGGTGAGACTGTGTACTCCCACCAGACTGTCGATATAGGCCCGGGATTGTCTGAGCGGTTGGATGTTGAGCTTTCACCAGTCCTACCTGGTATAAATTATAATATTCAATTTATAGTTAGCTTTTTACAGGAAATAACAAAATTTATAGACCACTACTGATAAAAACATTTTTTAATTTTTTCATCATCATGATCTTTATTATATATATATATATATAAAACTACTTTTATTGATTAATAGAAAAAATTTAAAACATTTTAATTATTCATTTTCGGAGATAATAAATTAATAAATTGTTTCTATCAGTATATATTTTATAGTTATTAAAATATTATTAAGTACTTTTTCTTCTCGTGGGGCCCACAACCATGACAATCTTTGACGCCACTCTTCACACACGCTCCAGATGTTACGTGTACTCCATTTACAATTTAAACCATACCTGCGTTTTTAAAAATTTAATTATTTATTTATTAATAATGATAAAACAATAAATATAACAAAAAAAACCTTCGGTAAAAGACCAAAGCTGCTCCTCCTATAACAACAAGCGCCAAGGCCACTCCTAATGTTGTTATTACCCAGCCCATAATATTTAAAATTTATTTTATTTATAATTCTCCAACTTGAGAGCTGAAACAAAGACAACAAATCTTTTATTATTATTATTATTATTATTATCATCATCAAACTTTATCTTATATTAGTGATGATAGAGCTGATAAACTGAAGAGAAAAATAAAAAAAATTGAAAATGGATGGCATTGTATCTGACACATATGTATGAGAGGTCATGAAACAAGAGTTGATTTTAACTTGGTTTAGTTGGTTAAGTGTACTTGCTCTAAAAGCTCTTACCATTATGTATGCTATTCATATATTCTTATACTATCTTATATTTTTTACTCTTTTTTAGATCACTTGACTAGAAGCCTCTTTAATTTATAGCGTATTGTAACTATAGTCATAATTATAAAACAAAGATAAATTTTTTTTAAATAAATAAATAAATATAGAAATTTTTTTTTTATTTTTTGGTCTTTATTTAATAATTATTTTGTTTTTAAAAGCTAAAGCATTATTTTGAGGAAAAATAAATGAATCTGGTGATGAATAGCGTGCTAAAGAATACTGAGAATTTTGCCGGAGGCTTTAAGTTCATTGACAATATTTTTGTATAGTCTGCTCCATAAAAAGTTCAATAAACTTTTTCACATTAATATTGACTTGTTAAAAAATATGTTATATAAATTATGTTTTATATATGAATGACTAAATATTCACGCGTAGCTATTGATGGGCATGTAAATATATTGTTTAAAAATTAGTATCGATCAGCAGTGTTAGATGAGACGTTAAATTTATTACCATCAGAAAAATAAAAAGAAAAATATAAATTAAACAAAAAAAAAAAGCCATATCCTCACTTTTTTCATCTCAAGGCTATAAACAATGGTATAGCAATTATTGCCCTGGATTTTATCCTTCACCCTGCAGCGTCATTCACTTTTCTTTTCTTTCTCTATTTATTTATTTATTTATTTATTTATTTATTTATTTTTTTCATATACTTATACATATATAATAATGCAGATATTTTATTCAAATTCGTTTATTGTTTAAAATACAAAATTAACTAATTATATATTTATAATTTTGTAATAAACATATAAATATTCATTTTTAAACGATTGTATACATCTTCAAGTACATATATATTATCAGATTTGATCATTATTTACTGCAGCATGTATTGGCATTTGAACTCAACCGATGATTGTTATATATTCGATAGCTTCCACTATTATCAATAATAATAATAATTTCTATTGTAAGAATAATTTGTCTGTCTTGTGATATGATCAGCAATTTCATTCATTCAGAAAAATTGATTTTTTATAATTGGTAGTTTATTTAAAATTTATTTTTTATGTTAAAAATTTTTTGAAATAATTATAATATATAAAGCGGTGAAAAACAGTGATGAAAAACCTTGAAATAATTATTACACGTTCTATAGAATATATTGGTGGGAAATTTAATTAATTAAAGGGAAAAATGTTTGGTGAATTTAACCGGAAAATTCGACATCTCAATGTTAAATAAATTCTTTTGGAATAACTCATACATATATCTATGTGTTTTATTAATTTACTGAATACCTTAAATACTGTATCACATTGCTAATTAATCAGCTATAATTCTCAAATTATTCATTTATTTATATATTTTTCAATGAAATATATAAGTTTCAAGTAATTTTATAATTTTTTTATCTATTTAAGCGTTTAAAATTTTTAAAAATTAAAATAAAAGGGAAAATAAAGCATATTATGGCCGGATTTAATTTCAGTTGTTTTGGCTGATAGGTGTGATAATCATAATTCACAATTCATAATTCGTCCATGGCCTGACCTATTTTATATTTTATATTTTCTGGATTGAAAATTATGCATCAATACGTATATATTTTACATATTATTATGATAGTAAAATATTTTTAGTTGTATTCACTGATTCAGTTCAAAACCTATATATATAATAAATATATATATATATATATATTTTTTTTAATTCAGTTGCTTAAAAACTAGCTGTTTTTTTAAATAATTATAATGTAAAATCATATTTAATATATATTTTTTTTAAAACGGTTACTAAAATACTAATTAAAAAATTATGAAAATAGCAATAAGGATATATGAAATAAAAAAAATTAAAAGTAGAAAGCAAGAGTTGCGGAACAAGAATTTAAAAAATACTATATAGTTGTATAGTAGGGATTGTTTTGTGGCGTAATGAATGCATAAAATAAAAAATAAAAAGAAGAAAAAAAGAGGAAAGGCATTATGGATTGTTGCCAGATGGCGCATAGGCGCATTGCGTTTGAGAAAACTCGGGTATTCCCGAGAATCCTCGACTATTCGAATAAAATAATATATCTTTTTATACTGTCAGTATTACACTGAACATTATTGAAACATTAACGTTTAATAAACTCGGTCGCAATGTTCTCTCAACACGAACCTGCGTAATGTCGCTTTTTGTTGTATCATTTGGTTCTTTATTTTTACACCTCAATTTATCTTAATTTTATAAACAATTAAATTTAATTTAAGTACTTAAAAATTTATATTTTGATGAATATTTCAGAATCCAAGTTTTTAAATCTTTAAATTAAATTTTAAAAATAGTTTGTAAGATTCCAGAGAACTTGCTGTTTAAAACATTCCGAAAATTCTACAAAACTTGTCAGAATGTTAAAAAATTATTAAATCTTTTATTTCTTATTTACTATATAAAATAATAATAAAAATATTAAGTTTAATTGTTAAAAGGAAATCCTTTCGCTCCAGTTAGGTCAAAACAATTGTAGTAGTCAATATACGATAAATTAAAAAAAGAAACCCATAAAAATTCGAGACACACTTAAATAAATATACCTTGCATTGTTTTATTATAGATTTTTTAAGGAAATCCTTTCGCTCCAGTTGAGTCAAAATAATTGTAGTAGTCAATATACGATAAATTAAAAAAAGAAACCTATAAAAATTCCTAAAATTAAATAATAAATAGTATATGAGGCATTAATTGTTGAAATTTTGAAAATAAAAAAAAAAAAATAGTTAAGTACAAAAATTAATTTGACTCTTTCAAATCAACTGCTAGTAACTTGTCCGTGATTTGGCAACGCTGTACTTTGGTTGTTTACATTTTCATTTGCACAATATAATCTTAACCACGTTTAAGTTTTTGCAGTCATTGTAAATAAATAAATTAGTTTGAATTTATTAAATGGTCTGGAGCTCGCGCGCTACGCAACGTTGCCAAATTTTTTGACTCCATTTTAACGTAGTTTACTTGAGAATTTTTTGTGATTTTTAAATATATTAATTTCTCAATAAATATCTCGGTAACTGATATATTTTATTGCAAAAAAAGAAACCTGAATATTTCAAAAATCTAATTTTTAGTTTTTTTTTACTTCATCTAATCCAAGACTGATAGTATAATTCGAGAAATACTGCAAACGTCTGACTTTCTCGTAAGACTCTGAACAAATACTAACATTTAAAAATTTTATTTTTTCAAAAATTTGTCCGGTAAAGTATAATTTAAACCTGACTATTAGATAAATAAGGACCTTAACTATTAGAAAAAAATTGAATTTACTCATAATCTAATATTTTTTATTTTACATTGGCGGCGAAAGGACCTCCTTAATTAATTTGTAAATGGTAAAGTTTATCGTATAGTTTTAAATTAGTTGGAAACAAAACTTAAAGTTATTCAAGTTGAATATATGTATCTCGAAAACTGTCTTATCTAATTAACAAAATTTTTAACAATAATTAATTGAGAGAGAAAAATAATAATAATAATAATAATAATAATATTAATCCTAACAAAACTTTTTAATGATTATAATTTTATTTTAGTATCAATAACAATTGTTAATTAACTATTGTACAAGAATAGATGTCAATAACTAAAAGTTTCAGTCATGCGTGCATCAGACATTGAGTATTCAATAATATAACTGACGTGTAGTCGCCGCACAGAGTACCTAGTCTGCAGAGTTGTCGGTATCTATCTACTACCTATATAGATCGATCGTAAATCCAATACCGCAAGCTTTCAGCTTTCAGCTTTTAGCTTTCAGCTTTCAACTATTTACTAATTAATAAATAAAATATCTGTTTCATTTATTTTTTTGTTTTAATTATTATTATTACAATCGTTAAATTGGCTTTAAAGGTGTATCCTTATAGCATATATGTATGTAAATATTTTAAAGCTTAAGATGCTTGATAAATATAATAATATGTATATAAAGTATACAAAAAAGGGAAAATAATATTTATAAAAGTATTAGTAAATAAAGTTTCAAAAGTCTAATAAGAGGATTTAATATGAAATAGTATATATATATAATAGATGGGATATATCTCATGGAATCCTTGACTACACTGCATTCTCGTAATGCCCTCGACTCTGCTCGGATAATACCATCTACAGAATAGAAGGAATAGAAGGCACGGAAGGTATAGAAAGTACAGAGAGGTTTAATCAGGTATTTGAGTATTTTAATAAATATATATTTTATTTATTTATTATTTATTAAGTTTAAATGCCAAGGCATAAAGCCGAATGGCAAAAATGATATACATAAAATTATAATTATAATTCACATAAGTACCGCTAATATAATAAGTACATAATGGAAATAAAAATTTACATAATAGCTTAAAACATAAAATTTTCATAATGTTCAAATGGACATAATGTTTTTTAATCATATTAACCAGCTCACTATTATATTATTATTCAAGATTTATAAGAAAATCGAATACTCTTGTCTTGAAGGATTCTAAACCAAGAGAATTTGAAATTTCAGGAGGTAGATCTTACCAAAACCTTATAGCTGATATAACAAATGAATGCTCGTAGGTTGTAGTAACAAAATTGGGTATTTTAAAGGTGATATTATTATTTCTGTTGGCTATTCTTTGCGATCGTCTGATGACAGGGTCATCTTCAATAAATAAATCACGTAGAAATTTTGGTTCGCCTGTTGATAACAATTTAA